ACAATAATTTCCCGTATATAATCATCCATAGACTGATCTTCCTTTTTCTTGAGAGCCGACAAAAGGCGTTTAAGCTCCATGGCTCTAGCAATACTGGCTGCCATAAACTTAGTCTCCAATCGTTCCCAAATTAAGGCAGAAAAGCGTAAAGTGTGCACCTCAAGTAAAATATTACGGGAAAGAGTTGCAAAAATCCAAGATCTAACAGTTTGGTCAATTTTAAGCCATGAATTATAATCGGGGTCAGATGACAACGGAGCAACAACAGAACCATCTATGATTCCCAACAAGCCATGTGACACCAAAAAAGACTCCAACTGTGTACGCCAAGGTAAATAATCTTCCACCGTATCCAATCGAGTGGTAACAATGTTTGTGACATTAGGCGTTGAAAAAGTTAACTGAGATGCCAAGGAAGATAATTGAGTAGATGTTACCGGTGTGGGGTTCGGCTGTCGTGATGACGAAGGAACGTCAAAGGGGATAGGGCCTGGATGACGGGCGAATGTCGGGCCTGAGAAGGGAACCAGTGAGGGAGAAACCGGACCCGGCATACGTGCGGCTGGAGAAGGCACCTGCGTCGTGACCGTTGGCTGCCAAGTGAAGGGATCAGGCATGCCGAACAAACGACCAGAGTTCAAAGTCGAAGGCATGTGGAGTCGCGTGGCAGACAGCTGTGGCGAGAGAGTAACACCGGACGAAGGCAGCTCCATGCCAGATGAGGCGGGCGCCAATGATGTGATGGCAAAGCTCGTTTGCGGAAGAGAGACGGCAGTATGCGGCTGCACCAATGAGGAGGGCGCCGATGGTTGTGTAGAGCCGGTCGACATTGTTGCTAGGTTTTTGGGAAAGAAACCTAGGCTGCTGATACCATGTGAGAGAATAATTGAGAGTAAAGAATGGCTTGCCCTATTGGGAGCCTTAGCATCCTATTTATAATAATAAGAATAAGAGTATTTACATAGAGGTCCCTATAATATTCTATTACGTTAGTCGTCCCATCGAAACTCTAGCCACATCCCCAATTCGAGACCAACCGCAAATAGAAAAAGAGAAGATGAAGAAAAGTGATAGCTATGGCGCTTGAGATCAAACAACGACAATTGATGGATATGTAGTTTAAGAAAGTGTTACAAATGAAGTTAAATTTAATTACCATGAGATAGTGACTCTAGGATTGGGAATTACCATGTAACGACGATGATTTGATGTTAAGAACTTCAAGAACAGATGACCGTCGAAAAGAAAACTAAAAACAGAGGGGGGTTGAGGATGACGAATATGGTAGTTTCAAAGTTGGAAAATTTGAAAAAGGGAGTTGTTGCGTTAATTAAGGAAGAGAGAAGCATATATAAGAATGACAAGAAATAAGTGTCCAAGCAGAATAATACGGAGCAATTAAGGTAGACAGAAGTGTCGGTACGGGAAATAAACGATTGAGTCGGCTATTGCTCATAATGAAAGTCACTTTTAAGGAACATGTAAAATTAGTCATGTTTTTGGGAATGAAAAGACTCATAGTAATATTGGTGCCATTATTTCAGGAATAAATCCCAAATTACGTCTGAACAAGGTGGTTGAATAAAACCTGACTCAAAGAAATAGAGAGAAAATATGAGTTCCTGAAATAATGCTGATTAAAAAGTATATCCAAAATTACGGTTGGATTAAAAATATTTATCAAAATATTGTCAGATGGAACTATGGTTAAGAAAAAATAGCATTCAGAATGACGACTTATAATATGCAAAACAAGATGGTGACTTAGAAGTCGCCAAATCTATTGGCGGCTTTGCTACTGGCCAAAAACAACATGCAACAAACACCGAGTCAACACCAATTCAACAACAAAATAGACTATTTAAAAGACAAGCAACCAGGAACCATTTCATCGAACAAACAAATCAACTTTAGCGAATCAACACAAAAGTTTGAAGGAAGATTCCTAAAATAAAACTAAATAAGGTTTGAAATTTCAAAATATAACTGCTATGTTTTTCTTCCTGAAATAAGAGTAAGATGACATTATTTACTGTCATCTTTTAGTCATGACTGCTAAATACTTGCAATATTATGCATTTAATATGACAATATTTATTATAATTAATGCCACTAATTTTCAATCATGACAATATATTTCAATCATGATAATAACGACTTCTATTTTGTGAAGAAAAACATCGTAGTTCTATTTTAGAATTTCCAAAGTTGTTTACTCCTGTTTAGGATAATTTTCCAAACTTTAATATCTTCACAAATGGAAAATTATCATGTTTGTTCTCAAAATGTCATGAAGATGACATTTACACGTGTAAAAGACATTGCATTCGCTCCTCTTTCTCACACGTTTTAAAAAATACTCCCTCCGTCCCTTAAAAGCTTGCCATGTTTGGCCGACACGTTAAATAATAAAGTAAAAATTGTGTGGTAGAAATTTATGCAGGGGAGAGAGAAATAACAAGAGCCACATATTGATTGCTTAAAAGGGAAAGTGACAAAGTTTTTGGGACAACTAAAAAATGAAAGTTGGTAAAGTTATAAGGGACGGAGAGAGTATTATGTTTCTTGTGAAAACATCATTAGTAATTTAGGATGTTATCATTATGCTTTGAAAATGTAAGGATTTGCTATGAAAATGTAAGAATTTGCTATGAAAATGTAAGTAAAACTGTCATCTAGATAAGTGTAATACCATTACAGCGATATTATTTCCACATTAGTGTTCAATAAAACAACTATTATGGCTTTCTCAGGTTCAAATGATGAGGAAAATAATATGAATGTTTTAAAATAAATTAATCAAAATTAGTATAAAATGGATGACCTGTGGAAAAAGAAAAAGAAGAGCTTCCGAAGAAGAAAACGGAAGAGGATGCTTGGGCGTGTAGGAGAGCCACCCTTCTTCACTGTTGACATTCATATCGTCAACTAGCCTTTTTTCATATCATAAATTTCATAACTGACAATTTCATATCATAGGCAACGAATCCATCTTTCATAACTGACAATTTTGCTTTGTTTTTATCGTCAACTAACCTTCTTTCATATCATAAATTTCAGGATCATTACATCAGTCAAAGGAAAAACAAAACAAACACCAACTAAATTCCAACAACTCGACTGTAAACCCTATGATCAGACTTAGAGACGGTCACCCCTGAAAGAGCAATGCGAATCGCTAACCATGTAGCGGGCTTGACACAATTAACTATCCCCCTGTTCCCATAGATCCAAACATACTCAATGACATAAAAAAGGCTGAAATCCCAAACAAACTGACAAACATAACAACATAGACGATAACAAGAATCCAAATGACAAAAAGGTGGCAGTATCCTGGAGGAGGCCGTATCCTTGGTACCATTCTAATTGACCCTCCATTATCAATCGTCATCTGACCTGCTCGAAAGCCGCGCAACTCTCCTCGTCCCGCGCTCTTAGCAAATCCACCGCTAGCGGTCTTCATCGCTGTCATGCCCTTGCTACCCAAACTCATCCCGCGCTCTGGGATCAAAACGAAAGGAAACACCATAGCAGACTAACGTTCGACAACAACCAAGCGCTAATCCTGACGACGTAAGCCAAACAGAAACACACAGATAACTGACGGCTGGAACCCACGATCGGAATACGATCGCCGTCAGAGAAAAAGGCTCTAGCGGCTAGGAAGCCCTAGAGAGAGACGTCCGAGATAACTCACAATTTTGATTAAATAAGGCTTAATAGCATGCGAGCTCAGGAACATAGTAGGTTTCACAAAATTACCGAACAATTTTGGCATTTCAATTAAATTTTAGTCTTATATATGACAATTTCTATAGGCTAAAAGGTCACACAAGCACTCGAACTAACTTAAAAAGTGTAATTCACCACTTATATAAAAGGATCTGTCCGGCCGTCACCAATTGGGGCGGTTCCCGTTGGAATTTTTTGATGAATTTTTTTAGCATCTTCTTCATTAAGTCTAGTTCACTCATACCAAATTTCAGATAAAAATTCAATCGGGGAGACAATCAAATGATTTTATGAAATGTACTGCGCTGTTTAACTGGGCAGTTATCTTCAAAAAGTCATTTGACTGCATTCCCGATTGAATTTTTAGCTGAAATTGGTATGAGTAAACCAGACTTAATGAAGAAGATTCTCAAAAAAATTCATCAAAAAATTTCACCGGGAACCGCCCTAATTGGTGACGGCCGGATAGAGCTTCCTATATGAGAGGTGAATTGCATTTTTTAAGTTAGTTCAATGGTCTATTTGACCATTTAGCTATTTTTTACTGAGTATATGTTTGAGACTTTTTGTGGGATTTTCTCAAATTGAATTGATCAATTAAGTATAAACTGACACTAGAATTTGATTTATTGCTGTGCAACCATTTTTTATGTACACACTTTTATTTTTATACACTTGTACACATGTTTGTATACATTTATATTGACATTTTTTATGTGTAAACATGTAATCAGACAAAAAATGCAAGTGATTGCAAAATATTTTTGTCGAGTGCTTGGAAGTGTTAGTAAGTGTTAGTAAGGGCCCGGAAGGGAAAGGAAGTGTAAGTGTTAGACATAATTTTACCTTGTTTGGGAGAGTCAAATGAATGGAGTGTTAATAATGGAAGTGTTAATAATTTTACCTTGAGGCAAAAGAAACGAGTAAAGAGAAGAGATGAAAAAAACATACCATCGACCCGTGAGAAAGATATTCGAAGTGAAATGTCGAAGCATTTTATGTTTTTCGGGTAAATTAGAAGGGTAATAATTGTCCAACACCTCAAAACACTCCAAATCGGGGTGTTAAAAAAATGGACAGTTGAGGTGTTGGGAAGGTTATTATTAACACTTCCTAACCATTACTAACACTTCTTTACACCTCTAGATTTTTCTTCCAAACAAGTGTTAGCATCAACACTTACTAACACTTCATTACTAACAGTCTTCAACACTCAATCCAAACAGGCCGTTAGGTGCCGTGCAATACACATTTCAAATTTCTTGCCTGCGTGTAAGGCCATTCAAATCCTCAAACCTACACCCACTTCTAGCATGCCTGAGAACTCAATTTCCCGTTGACAATTTTTGGTGTAGAAGGTGGCAGTTTTGTCCTCACACCCTGCGCCACTCCTTTGCTGTACGGGCTAAGACCAAAACACTAGGGTTAGTCTCGAGAATGGGCGACGGCCTCAATATTTTTGAGGTGAATAAACTTATCTTGTGGAGCAACGACCTCATTCAGGTCTTCAAGAATGGAGAAGATGTCAATACGTTGGAGCAACTATCAGAGCGCTCCCATTTCCTTCAATCGCAGTGTAATGCTGATTTTAACGACGCTCAGAGGTCCATCGAGGGTAATTAATAAATCTCGTCTCTTTTCCGCTCAAATTATTTAAAAAAACAAACAAACTTTCTTTTGGGTGGTTCTGCTATGCTGCATTGGAGCCTTGCCTGAGATATCAAGTCGGATAAATTTAGAGGTGCAGCCCCCCTAGAAATAAGAAATCTTGCAGAGACTAAGGGTCGTTTCCATGAGCTAAATTGTTGAATTCAATGTTAGGGTTATTTATTTTGTTTGTTTTTTATAAACTTTCCTTCTGCCTAAATGCTCAAACTTACAATATGCTCACAAGTGAAGGCTGGTATGGCTGTTTATTATATGTTCATAATTGAATACTAGTATGATTTTAATTTATTATTGGATTTGAGGTATTCTTTTGGGACTAAGGCTTGGATGTTGTTGTTGTTGTATTGGATTTGAGGTATTCGGATTGCTTTTGATATTAAAGGCATGGTATGTTGATTTTTGTGCACCCCATGCTTCAGATTATGAAAAGAAGCTAGTTGTGTGCAAACAAAAAACTGTGGAAGCAATTTGTGAAGCATCAAGTGATGTTGAAGTAGAACCACTGCAGAAAGAGCTTGAAGAGGAGCTTCAAAGAAAGAGCATGTTGATAGAAGAGCTGAGATGAGTATCTTCACTATCCTAGGCTGACGTTTTTTGATATCTTAGAATCTTTTACTTGTGAAACTGATCAGTGGTTTGTTTTCCCATATGTCATCACAGTTCTGTCTGAGGAAATAAATGATTTAGAATGTCAAAGAGAGTCCATTGAGGAACGAAGGAAATGCCTTAAACAGCTTGAGCGAGATTTCTCTAGAGCAGAGTAAGCTCATCTGAACATTTCATATATTTCATTGTGAATATTACATAATTATAACATTCATGAACATTACATACATGAATGTTATCCTAAAAGAAATCTTAATTGTGATGTCTTGCTAAAGTATTAAGCTATCAATATGAATGATGGATTCCTATTGATGGGGGGTTTGCATAATAAAGTGCAAACCAAATTGTAATTGTGATCTCATGGTGTCATGTTAAAGTTTTCAAACTATATGAATGATGGATTCCTATTGATTGAAGTTTGATGCCATGCTTTATTGTGCAAACCAACCTCACCGTTCTTTTAATTCTATATTAAACAATAATCTGAATTGCCCATTATACAAATAGCACAAGTAATGTTTATTTTTTAATGGCATATTCAGTTGTCACTTTAAGTCTTCAAGCACTAAAATTCTTACTCTTGGCACATGACTTGTTTTTTACATTTTTTACCATTTCGGGCCTTACTAAAAACTGATGAGAAACCCGATATACGGGGAGAGTTCAGCCCCCATCTACATATATCACACACAAGGCTGCAACTGGAAAAAGAAAAGCAAACCAAAACCTTATTAGTAAAAGATTCAGTTGCTTTTAGCCAACCAAAATCAGGTGTTGGAAAAAGTGAACATAGTTGCCCTAATTAGGATAAAAGACACTGTGAAATTCCAAAATAGAAGTACCTTGTTTTCCCCTAAATAAGAGATCACTATCCTGCTTGGAAAATACTGCCAATTATGTAATTAATTATACCATATTAATGCTTGGTAATGCCAAAATATGATAGCATGATTTCAGCGTGAGAGTAATTTATTTCTATTTAGGGGGAACATAACACCCATATTTTGGAATTTCACATTGTTTTGTAATTAATACTACCTAAATAGGAGTAGTCACTATCATGCTAGGGAAGTTCTATCAATTATGCCATTAATATAATATAGGCATATTAATGCCTGGTAATACCAAAATATGGTCATATACTCGTATGGTTTTAGGATGAAAGTAATTTACTTCTGTTCTGGGGAGACAAAATCACCCATATTTTGGAATTTCACATTGTTTCTGTGCCTCTTTCGAAAAATTGCCCAGATTAAAATTTATTTTTTCCTCTAGAAATGTGTTGCCTGACAATATTCAGTTGATCCTGATTAGAGATTCAAACGAAAGCACAGGAAGTGACAAAAAACAAGGTCGTGTGCCAAACGCAATCTGAATATCAGAGAACCAATGTGTGATTGACCAAATGTTCATGGGGCCAAAAGTGGCAAAATTTTGGATGTTTTTTTAATATTTTCTGCCACTAATTATTCGCAGAACCCATTTTCCCCACCATCACCTCATGTGTCTGGTAAAGTAATAACGACCCTTTTTGTTGTGATTTTGCAGGATGAAGTTATCATTGCTTGCCTCAGTTACAAACATTGTTCCAAGCTTGGATGATCAATCAAAAATATCTGGCTGTATCCTTATTGAAAATTTGAAGAATGGAGTATATTTTTATTCTTATTTTCCTTTCTTGCCTTGTTTGGTAGTCCTTCACTCAGCATAGATATTGTCAAGAGGGATAAGTTGTTAGACAATTTTGACTTTGATCCGAAAAAGATGTCTGAGTTCGAAATCTGTAACCACATTTGGAAGATGATAAACTCCTGACACAGTGTAACACGGTGACACAGCAACGGGAAACATCATGTTCGAGAAAAAATGTTCGAAGAGTTTCCAAACGCAAGAACAATGTCTCGAAAGCTTCACGTATCACAGCATTGTACTTTCTTGGGCATAGTTTTGTGTCACGGTGTGGCAAAGCATCTTTAAATTGCCACAACAATTCGATTTTTTATTGTAACTACCTGTTGTACTAATGCAATATCACTTATGGTTGTCCCCTTTTTATCCTCTTAGAAGTACATGTTTCTCTGAATTTGAAATAAATATTGAATATAGTTTTGTAGTTTGTCTTTTTCAATTCTTGAATAAATTTATCTCTAAAAATTTGTTGAAATTCCCATATAATTGGGTTTGTTTGTACCCCATGCAATATGGTTGCACTGTATTTAATTCTAGCACTTCTCTAATCAGCGCAGGTTCTCACATTTCAGGCTATTCTTTAAAGGAAACTTGACAGGAGTATAATGTGGCATATCCGATGCAAATCATGCGAGTGCGTTGATTGTATGTAAGCTTATTTGGCTATACGTCGTACAAGGTTTGGGTTTTCACTTCAATCTAAGCTGAGATGTCCTAACTCCTAAGCATTCATCTTTTCATAGTCTTGCTGTCTTTTTATTATTTTATATGATTTTGTTTAGGGCTGGACTCGGGCCGGTTCGGGCCCGGTTCGGGCCTGGGCCCGGCCGGGCCTCGGGCCAGGAAAGGGGAGGCCCGAGCCCGAACCGCCGGTGGCCGGTTCCGGTTCCGGGCCGGGCCGGGCCGGGCCGAACCGGACCAATAATATTTTTTTTTGTTCTCCTATTTAATCCCCTACCGCTCCCCCTCAACCCCAAACCATCCCAAACCACCTCAAATGGCCCAAAATACCTAATCCAACCTAAAACTTCAAAAAAAATTCAAAAAAAAAAAAATTAAAATCCGGCCCGGACCGGGCCCGAACCGGCCGGGCCGGTTCACCAAAACCTAGGCCCGAGCCCGGACCGCCCAGCACCTGGGCCGGGCCAAACCGAACCAGTGGACCCACCGGGCCACGGGCCGGGCCGGCCCAAACAGTGACCGGGCTGGTTCGGTCCCGGGTCGGGCCGCCCGGCCCGAGTCCAGCCCTAATTTTGTTATTAATTAAAACATTTCAAAAGCTACAAGGGTATATTTGTTCAAACACGCATAGATAGTCCTACTAGGGGCAAGGGTGGACCGGTTCCGGTTCGGGCCCGGTTCGGGCCTGGGCCCGGCCGGGCCTCGGTTCAGAAAACTGAGGCCCGAGCCCGAACCGGTGGTGGGCGGTTCCGGGTCCGGTTCCGGGTCCGGTTCCGGGCCAGACCGGGCCGGGCCGGGCCGGGCCACCCGGATTTTTAATTTTTTCTTCTTCTTCTCTTATTTAACCCCCTCCACCCCAAACCACCCCAAACCACCTCAAATGTTCCAAAATACCTAATCCAGCCCAAAACTTAAAAAAAATTCAAAAAAAAAAAAATTAAATTCCGGCCCGAACCGGGCCCAGGCCAGCCGGGCCGGTTCGCTAAACTGGAGGCCCGGGCCCGGACCGCTATACCACCGGGCCGGGTGGCCCGAACCGGGCACAAACCGGTTCACCGGGCCGGTCCGGGCCCGCACAGTAGTGGGCCGGCCCGGTTCCGGGCCGGTTGGCCCGGCCCGAGTCCATCCCTAACTAGGGGGATTAAAAACATGTAGTCCTATTTGTGTTCTTGGGCCACTTTTTTGACCGATTTTGGTGATTAATGCTAATATTTATGTAGCTTTAGACATGCGGGGTTTTTATGGACACATGTAGGGCTGGACTCGGTTCGGGCCGGGCCCGGTTCGGGCCTTGAACCGGCCGGGCCTCGGTTCACCAAAAGGAGGGCCCGGACCCGAACCGGCGGTGACCGGTTCCGGGCCAGGCCGGGCCGGTTCACCCGCCCTATTTTTTTTTTTGATTTTTGGCTTCTCTTATTTAACCCCCTACCCCTCCCCCTCAACCCCAAACCACCCCAAACCACCTCAAATTGTCCAAAATACCTAATCCAACCCAAAAATTCAAAAAAATTCAAAAAAATGTAAAAAAAAAAATAATTCCGGCCCGGACCGGGCCCGAACCGGCCGGGCCGGTTCACCAAATGGAGGGCCCGAGCCCGGAACCGGTATTCACCGGGCCGGTTCGACCCGAACCGCCGGTGGACCGGGCCACCGGGCCGGGCCGGTTGCTACAGTGGGCGGGCCGGGCCGGTTCCGGGTCGGGCCGCCCGGCCCGAGTCCAGCCCTAGACACATGTGTCTTATTATAGATAAATCATGATACGTTTAAAAAACGTACGTATTAATATATGAAATAATGTCAAAAGTAGCACCTCCGACTTATGAGTGGACAAAAGTAGATCATCTCCTTTTTTTGGACAAAAAAGGGACCCCCCCTTCTCACCTTCCCGTTGGCTTACGGATCGGAAATACGGAGCTTCACTCCTCTCCCTCATCCAGCCATCTTCAGCCATTGTCAGCATCTACTCTCCCTGCGACCAGAGACGGCGGAGGCGGCGGCTTCATGTAGAGACGGCTTCAAATAGAGATGGCGGCGACGGCTTCAAATAGCGACGGCGATGGCGACTTCGAATAGCGACGGCGGTGGCTTCAAATAGCGACGGCGATGACAACTCATCTCCATCTTTTCTCCTCCTTTCCTCTTTACTGCAAACTGCCACCGCTCATACCGTCAGAGTTGGGAGTTGACGGTGGTTTTGTTGTTGAATAGATCCGCCGTCAACCTGAAAAAATCCGTCGTCTAACTCGCTCAGATCTGAAATTGCTGACTCTTTGGAGCAGGTACTAGCTCATGGGGGCTGTAAAGTGGTGGCAGGTGGCTGGATCTGTGCAGTGATTGGGTATCACAGTTGCAGGGGTTGGGTATCAGGTCTGCAGGGGAATGATGGCTAGGGAGGGGGCTGGGTGGTCGGGGACAAAGGTGGCCAGAGGCAGCAGTGGACCGGTGTTGGTCAGGGGCGGCGGCGGACCGGTGGTGGTTGGGGTGGCGGTGGACTGGTGGTGGTTGGGGCAGTGGTGGTCATGTTGGTCAATGGTTGAAATGGTCATGATTAGTAATTGATCATGATAATTGGTCGGGTTGGTAACTGGTCGGGTTGGTCACGGTCGGTTTGGTCACGGTCAGATTGGTCACTTTCAGATTGGTCATGGTCGGATTGGTCACGATCGTTAGTCGGGTTGGTAACTGTAACTGGACAGGTTATGTAACTGTAACTATAATTGGGCGGGTCGGTAACTGTAACTGGACGCGTCGGGTAACTGTAACTGGACAGGTTATGTAACTGTAACTATAATTGGGCGGGTCGGTAACTGTAACTGGACGCGTCGGGAAACTGTAACTGGACGGGTCGTTAATTGTAACTGGACAGATTGGGTAACTGTAAATGGACAGGTCGGGTAACTGTAACTGTGCGGGCGGACGTTGGTCACTGGACGGGCGAACGTTTGTCACTTGACGGAATTTGAATTTTTGGTCATTAATGAGTTTTGGTCACTAACGGATTTGGAGCACTAATGGAAAGTGACTACTGGAACACGTTAGTATTGTTATTGTAACTTCATATGTCTTAATCCCCTTCTAGGTCCCTTTTTTGGAAAGTGAAAAAAAGGTCTCTTTTTTGTCTATAACTCTTTTTTTAGTATTATTTTAGACATAACCCCTTAATATATACTTTTTGATGTACCGTGTACTTTATAGATAATCCATGTGTCGTAATTCATATTTTTTTTATAAAATTAATTAATAATTATGGGGGCGTTTGTTAGCCGGCGTTTTCTGCGTCAAACGCTGGCATTTTCATTCCAGATGCCAAATACCGAACAAACCCTATAAGAGCAATTTGTTTCGCTAAGAGTTAGTAATATAGACTCAAAATTAAAAGAAAATAACACCAAATGTAACGCAAAAACAAAAATTAGAACGAGTATAATGCAGTGGAGTTTGGTGTACACATTATCTTGTTTACACAATTTTACACTGTGTGAGGATGTTTTCTTTTGAAATGTTTTCAGTCCCAGATCAGATCAATTCAAATCAGACTTGACTTTCGTAGTTATAAAATACACTGAGACCAGACGTTTACCAGACAGTCCAGTTCAGACCAAACCAGATCAGACAAGACCAGACCAACAAATTTCAGTCCAAAAGAAAACATCCTAGATTTTACAAAAAATCCTACACAATCATGTGTAAAAGTGTGTACACTAAAATAATGTGGACAATTTTTTTTGTACTTATTAAAAAAGAAAGATGGGTGCGGATTTGAAGTTTTGAACCATCACAATCTGTTCGAATTCAATTCCCTGCTCGGAATGGATTGAGATCCTCTACCCGACTAGGAGGGTGCCTTGCGCATCGGACGGGAGGAGAGCTGCCAACACGACCTCGAGATCGGCGAAAAAATGGAGTCCAAGATCTCCGCTCGGAATCGGTAAAATCTTTCCGTGAAAACCTCCCCAAATCAGCGCCTGGAACTCCGCACACCCGACCAAACTATACGCCGCACTAGACTAAAATTGTTCAAACCAATTGCATCACTAATTAAAAACACCTTTGCCTATTACAACTAATTAACCACAGAAAATTCATGTGCATGCCGCTATGGCTGGTGGACCCATGACACGTACCCCGTGCATTCTTTCCTCATTTTTATCGTGAACACTAAATATTTTAGGTACATTCTATAATATTTTAGTATTATATACATTTGTTCACATGGACCAATTAAAATGGTGCAGTTTAATTATTTAAATATAAAATAAAAATGATATAATGATTTGGATCAATCAAGTGATATGTACGATATCCCAATTTTCAAATGGGTAGTGAATTTATATGCTAAAGGAATGAATTTACTCATCAAAATTTTAAGATATTGAAATTTAAATATGAGCAGCTAATATAATATAAGTGTAAGCATACCCCAAAAAGAATGAATTAACGATCAAATAACCCAAATAGGCAAATATATAAAAATATTTAATTACAGTATTTGATAAATGCAACAGCAAACCCATAAAATTTGTTACTGTTCAATCTAACTCACAGGGAGTAATATAACAGAGTTGTTGAAACAATCATTATATTAAACCTCCACCAATTGATTACAGGATTCGCCTGATTTGTTAGAACCTCTGGAATTTATCGGGCTTGATTAGAGGATTGGCCTTGGCAATCACATCTCGGCCTTGACCTTTGAAGTCAAAGGCATAGTCATGAATCTCAGGGTACCTATGGGACCCACAGTACGTGTAGCCACACCTGCAGTTGAACCCCAGCAGCCCCACCTTCTTGTTGCAGCTCCAGCACCTGCCGGACGCGCGCGGGGCCGGCGGCGGCGACGCCTCCCTGCCGGTCGACCCATCGGGAACCGGACGGCCGGTTTTGATCCTGAGATTGGTCATTATAGGCACCTGCTCTTCCATCATCTTGCACATGTCCTTGTAGCACTTGGAGCACAGACCCTTGGTCGCCGCCGTTCCAAAGAAACCGCAGCCGTTCCGACAAAGAGACGGCGGCGCCGGAGATATGGTCCCTAACTCCGTCTCGTTTCCTACTTCCGATGATCCCATATTATTTTCTCGGTTGTAAATTAAAGCTAGAGGTATCTGATAGCAAAGAAAATAAATCTATGGCAAGCTAGAGGACACAGTTATCATATATAGATTACGGCCGGTATTAATCTCCTGATTTCCGAAGAACTCCGAATACAGGCCAAGATTTATTTCCAAAAATGTTATCAAACCGACTACTTCCGCGTCTTCTGTTTCCTAAAGCCAGTCACCTCTTAATTACATGGCGGGATCGGTGCAGGGCTGTTTATTGGGCTGTAAAAATAGTGCCTCTGGGTTTACAAATAATTAAGGCCGATATTAAAAAAACAAAAGAGTAGTACATATATATAAGGCAGTTTTATTTGCAGACACAAGTAATTAAAAATACATATTTTTCTTGAAATATTACCAATAAAAAATTTATGGACAAAAAAGCAATTATAAGTTACTATGGGTGTTAGAGATATTTTCATTGTAATTGTGATCAATGTTACTTTGCTAGTTTATAGTTAGCTAGAATAATGAATAGGCCTTTTAAGGCAATTTTGTAATAAAGGTTTTATACCTTTTTAGGTATGGGCCTCCTAGAAAAAGGAGCCCAAATGATTGTAAAACCTACCTTTCCCGTCAGGCTATAAATATGCCTTAAGGGAAAGGCTAGGTTAAGCTTTTCAACATTCAGTGCCGCAGTGCCTATTCTTGTGTAAGGTTTTTACGCTAAAACATTCATATCATTCTGTAAAACCTTCACATCAATGGAAAGCTTCAAATCTCAGATCTATCTTCCATACATACATATTCTAGACTAGAAAACAGGGACCTAACATCTGGTATCAGAGCCGGAGCTGATCGATCGGTTGGAAGCAGGAAAACCTCACTTGCGAGATCTTTCATCGGAGATTTTTCGCACTTGCGCGATTTTCGTTCTGTCTTGGTTGTTGTTTTTGCAGGAAATGGTTTGAAGGAAAAGGTTTTTGTTGTTGCTAGGATCATTCCTGGAGAAAATCGAACCCTGAAACTCGACGTACAGGTTTATCCGAAGTTGAGCGATCCTGATATTTCGCGCAAGTAGCCAAAACGAAGAACAGGTTCGCGCAACTGCATTTTCGCGAGATTTCCAACTTCGCGCAACTCCTCTGCGTGATTTGGCACCTGGCTCAAACTCCTTGCGCGATCCAGGACTGTCAGTTAGAATCCTTGCGCGATTTAGGACTTAAGATTGTCTCAACACTTGAGCAATCTTGAAGTTGCGCCATCTTTAAGATCAAACCTGCGCGATTTCAGCCCTGCGACATTTCAGTCCTGCGCGATCTGATTGGTCTTGCGCGATTGGCACTCTGACTTGCGCGAAAGGTATCCTGCGCTATCTGCTACCTGCGCAATCTTAGCTGCGCCATCTTCAACTCTGAGCAATCCAAAAATCACGCAACTTTAACCTGCGCCATCCTGGACTTGTAAATTTTCTGAGTTGAGCCATCCCAGACTTGCGCAATCCTATACTGCCTAAGGACCCAAACAACAGAACAGAACTAAAACCAACCAACTGATCAGCCCGATCATTCCAACATGGACGCATTATCAATTGGTAATGATACAAGACCCCCAATCCTACGAAGGGGTGAGTATAACGTGTGGAAGAACAGGTTCTTGAATTTTCTCGAAAGTAAGGATCAATCCTCCGGTCTTCTCGATTCAATCACCAATGGACCTGCACAGCTGATGATAGCAATTGAGAGAGATAATGGGAATAATCCACCGGTGGAGATTGAGTGGAGACAGAAGACTGTTGAGGAATATGATGATGAAGACCGTGCCAGAATCCGAGCTGACCTTATTGCAAAGACCTATCTCTTGCAAGCCATTCCAAATGACATATACATGCAAATCGATAGTATGTCCACAGCAAAGGAGATGTGGGACGAGATTTTTAAGATTATGCAAGGCACAGAGATAGGTGTAAAGGCGAAGAAAGCAAGCACATTCACTGCTTATGACTCATTCAAAGCCAAGCTCGGAGAATCACTTGAAGACACCTACCTCAGATTCCTGCAGTTGATAAATGAGATGAGGAAGATTAATGTGCATAAGTCAAACATGGAGTTGAATGTGAGATTCCTTTCTGCACTTGGAGCTGACTGGAGAAAGCTGACTTCGCAGATCAGGCACACAAAGGATCTGGATGAGATGGATATTCATGCTGTGTACAACACGCTGAGCCAATACACAGAAGATTTTGAAGACTTTGCGGTAGCTACTGTGACAGCTGAAAGAGGGAAGGGAGCCGTGGACAAGCTTGCAGACACCCTTGCCCTAATGCTTGACAAACCATCCAAATCTGTTTCCAAGAAAGACAAGATGATTGCAGAAGAGAGTGAGAGCGCAGACAGCGACATTGGATTTTGGGATGATTCTGATGATGATGAGCTGCATGATTTTCAGAGACAAATAGCCCTTCTTACTTCGAGGTTCAACAACCAAATGCAGAAGAAGAAGAACCCCTCTAACAACAGGCTCCGCAAGTCCTCCTCCAGCAACAACAAGAGAAAAGAGCGATCTTTTGAATCGTCTGAAAATATTGTTGCTGAGGATGCTCCAAAGTGCTTCAATTGTGGGAAGACTGGACATCTGATGAAGGACTGCAGGATGCCGAAGAGGAAGAAGGATGCTGAGTACTACAAGCAGAAGATGTACCTGAACAAGAAGAAGATGTTGCTGGCTATGGAAGAAAACAAGGAAAAGAGTGCTCTCATGGCTGAAAAAGACCACTGGATGGATGATTCTGATGAGGAAGAGAATCTGGCCTTGATGGCGGTTGTTGAAGAAGAAGAGAAAGAGAAAGATGCTGAGAAGGAAGGAAAGATGAAGTCAACCCCTGCTGCTGAGGAAAAGAAGGAGAAAGACAAGACTGAGGAGAAGAAGAACCTGCCTACTGCAACCAATGCTGATGTAGCGACTGCCCTGACTGCTGAAAACAGAAATGCTGACAATGAAGTAAGTACCTCTAATTCATCTGTACATACTTGCTCTAGAACAGATATGCCTGATAAATTTAAGGAGCTTGAGGCGAATTATAAAAGGTTGTATGAGGTATATAACCAACTGCGTGAAAAACAGACATGCTCAAACATTAAGATAATCAATTCAGAGAAAACAATCACTAAGCTTACAACTGAGAATAAGCGACTTAGTGCGAGTGAGAAAGAGTTGACAGAGAAACTTAGAACAACAGAAAAGGAAAGAATTAGGCTTTTTGGTGTCAATAATTTGCTAATGGAAAGAAGGGGTGCACTTTATACTAAAATCAAAGAACTTGAGGATCTGTTAGCCAAAAGGGACCAAACAGATCAGACTATTTTCCTTAACCAGCCTAAGGACACTCGTTTCTATAATGCCAAAGAAGGCTTGGGTTTGACCAATCCTCAAAACCTGAAAAAGGTCAACTGTAGACAACTCTATGATGTTAGATACATGAAAATAGGATTGACCAAACTCATGGCCTTCACTGGTGCTGAAGAAACGAATGCCCTTGAGGATGAAAAGAGAAAGACAAAAGCTGGTGTCGAGGTTCCTTTTGACTACACAGAGTTAAACAAGAGCTACAAAACCAAAGCACTCCCTTTGACCCCGGCTGAAGAAATCTTGACCTATCCTCCTGAAAATGAAGCTGAGAAAGACGGAGAGGAGGCTTCCACATCTGAACCAATTGAGAAACCAGCTTACATTCCACCATTGGTGAGAAAGTTTGCTGAGTTAAAAGATTCTTTTGAAAAGGAAAAGCAGGTTTTAGAAAAAGAAAAGGATGAACTTTTAAAAGAAATAACCTCCTTGAAAACCGCCTCTCAGTCTAACACAGCTTCTCAACCCTCTTCCCCTTCTTGTTCTGAAAACATCTCTGAAAATTCAAACGATAGTTTTAAGACATCTTCTTCTCACCCCAAGTCTCATTCTCCGACAGGGAAAGATGTGAAGAAGAGAGTCGAGAAGAAAGGAGAGTGGATTGAAGACAAAATAAGAAGGAAGAAGAGAGAAGAAGAGTCGAGATTAAGAAATAAGTTTCAGCGGTCGAGCGCCATTTTTTATGTTAAGAATAAGTCTAGTTCTAGCATTAGTGAGCCATCTACTAGTTATGCTAAGAGAGTGGCTCCTAAGTCTTCTAGTTCCAAGATTTCTGTCTCGAATCGCTGTACTAAATGTGTTTCTCTGAATTGCATTAAATCAATGAAATGTTGTTGTTCTGAGTCTGTTTCTTCTTGCAAAGTAAAAGATCCTGTGATTGTCAAGAATGTTGTGAACAAGCCCAAGATTGATAGGGTGAATGTTGAGAGTGAGGTCAAATTGCCATTTTTAAGGTATCCTCTCAAGATTCACTCAGTCAAACATCTGAGAAGGCTATCACGTGAACCAATTTTGAAAGATCATTTATCTGAACAATCACTTAGGACAAATGAAAGTTCCCTCGCTCCAAAAATCATTCAAATAAAACAAAAATGGGTTCCTAAGGCTGAAGCAGAACAATTAAAAATGAAAAACTCTTCTCAATCAGCCAGCCTAGGATCCCAAATCAAAAGGAAGTTGAAACAATTGCTCACTGTTGATAAGGAAGGACCCATCTGGCGATGGGTACCTAAGCGAAACTAATCTGTTTTGCAGATCAGTCATGTGTGGCATCTTGATTCGGGTTGCTCGTCACACATGACTGGACAGATTGAACTACTGAGCAACTATTCTGAAAGGTTTGGAGGAAATGTGAGGTTTGGGAACAATGCTTCATCGCCCATACTCGGGATAGGAGATGTCATTTGTGAGAGCGTCACTATCAGAAACGTGTCATATGTGCAGGGACTGAAACACAACTTGCTTAGCATCGGCCAATTTTGTGATAATGGAATGGAAGTGAGATTCCATGCTAAGCAATGTTGTGTGATGGATATGGGCGGGACACCATTATTAAGGTGTCAGAGGAAAACCAATCTCTACACCATTGATCTGAAATCGGTACGATCCCCCATATCCATCTGTCTCCTGTCCAAAGCATCTGAAGAACAAAGTAATCTATGGCACAGACGTCTCTCACACTTGAATCTGCCAGCCATCAGTTCCCTCTCCTCGAAGAAGTTGGTGAAAGGACTGCCTGTTCTGAAGAACTCCCCCAACCATCACTGTTCTGCATGTCATTTGGGAAAGATGAGGAGAGCATCACACAAGTCAAAACAATTTCCCTCCTCATCTCGTCCCCTGGAGCTATTACATATGGATCTGTGTGGTCCGATGCGCGTGCATAGCATCAGTGGACGCAAATATACTTTGGTTATTGTGGATGACTACTCACGCTACACATGGACCAAGTTTTTGCGCTTCAAGGACGAAACTGCAAACTTAATCATGACGTTCATCAGGACCATACAGAACTATCTACAGCAGAATGTGAAGATCATCAGAACTGACAACGGGACGGAGTTCAAGAACAAGGAACTGACCGAATTCTATGAAGCTCAGGGAATTACTCAACAGTTCTCTGCAGCTAAGACACCACAGCAGAACGGTGTTGTAGAACGACGGAACAGAACCTTGGTGGAAGCAGCCAGAACCATGCTGATACAGTCAAAGCTTCCTCA